CAGGAAGGAGGGCTCCCGAGCAAACTCATTTATGCAGTAGCCCAATGGCTCGCTCACAACTTTAATGCCAGGAGCTCACAAAGTAGAATTTTTGCTCACAAGACTCCACGGCTTAGAGGGAGCGTTGGCCACCACAGCCCCTACACTACAGGACTTTAAATCTCTCATACTGTATTTGCTTACCCACAGCAAGCTGCTCATATTTCGCTTCTTTCATTCTGCAGACTACTTCAGCTTCGGTCTCCAGATGGGACATCTCTCGGACGATTTTACAAGCCGCCAGGGCTGCAGCGACACCTTCCTGCCCCTTAAAAAAATGTATATATTAGGAATAAAAGCACTCAGTCAAAGCATTCAGACACACAGGAGATAAGAAAGAAAAATCTCTCTCTTTGCATCTCCATCTGCACCCAGGGCCGGCCCGAGGTTTTTTTTGCACCCTAGGCGGGGCTACCTTCTGGCACCCCCCGTGCACCCAATTATGGGGCTGCCAACCTCCAGGCGGAGCCTGGAGAGAAGGAAGTCCTACTTCTCTCCCCCTTTAGGCGAGCGAGGAGGCAGCAGCGAGGTTTCCGGGCACCCAAACCAAAACACCCCACATTTGGATTTACAAAAGCCGACCCCGGGCGGAGGGGGAAGGCGAGGCGGCCTTGCGCTCCCCTTTCGCGCCCCCCATGCCACGTGGCTGGGAGCAGCAATAGCACACAGGCTTTTGGCGGGGGGGAGGCACAGTTTGGCACCCCATCCAGGGCCCAGCGCTCTAGGCGAATGCCTAGTTCGCCTAGTGGGTGAGCCGGCCCTGTCTGCACCACAAACTTCAAAAGTATAAGAAGAGACCCCTGGCTCAATGGCACCGCATGTGCTTTGCAGGAAGGTCCCAGGTTCAGTTTAAGCCTCAGAAGTGAGATGGAGCCAAACACAGAACTATGATTCCTTTTCTTAGGCTGAAACAATCAGAAATGTAGGGAGCGAATGTTACACTGTTGTTTGGAAGATTTGTACTAATG